TTTTTTTTTTTTTTTTTGTACTTACTTTATAATCCGTTCACAGATTATCTGAAACTTTAATCTTAGAAGTCTTCAAGCTGTGGGAGTTTTTTCCCAATGTGATGTCAGAACTGATCAGATCTGATTGTTACAAAGATCCCACTAAGGAGTTTAGCACTAATTGTTAGAAGATGTCCGTGCTTAAAAAAATTAGGCCAGTGATTGTAACCATGCTGTTAATTTCATGTATTGTTCAGACCATGTTTCAATAGTGGGAATCAGGTGTACTTTCTTGATTAAAAATGCATTGAGGATCTGTAGGTTTTTTTGGTGTTGCAGAATCTTCTGAGCTGTAAGTGAAACCATTAAGAGCGGGAAGGGTTAATTGTATGGGAAGCCTCATATTCAAATACTTCTCGTATACAAAATATATGTCATGCTGGAAAATATTCTATTGTCAATCCAAATAGAACACAAACTAAAATGAGGTAATTGGGAAGGTGCCCATAAAGTCAGCCTGAATATATTATCACAAGTATATGTGAGATAATATTTGTTTTAAAAAGATTCTATGGCACTGTAAACTCAGTCTCATTAGAGACTGCATTTAAAAGGCTTATAAAGTTACTCATTAATGTTATCTTGTTGTATCTCCACAGCTTTTTCATTAAAGAAAATTCAGCAGAAAGCATTTTCTCCTGATAGCAGGAACCAATTTGCAATAAATGTTCTGGAAACCACTAGGGAAGCCATTACTGAGGTCTAATAAAAACAGACAAGCGTAACTTGTTCTATATTTTTGTTTCAATCACATACAGATGAGACCCCGCTCTCCACACCAACCGCAAGAGACAGCCTTGACAAACTTTCTCTAACTGGGCATGGGCAACCACTACCTCCGGGTTTTCCATCTCCTTTTCTATTCCCTGATGGATTGTCCTCCATAGAGACCCTTCTGACTAACATCCAGGTAGGCCTTTCTGTAGATCAGCTTAAAGGGATGGAGAGGAGCCAGTTGCAGATTTGTCTGAATTAATGCAACCATTCTAGCTTAATTAGTTCATAAGATTATTTGGATCAACTAATTTACTGAAACTTTCTAGTAATTTAGGTTTTAAAGGAACCACAGCAAACAAATGAATTCAGAAGCTGTCAGATACAGTACATAAAAATACAGGTTGTATATTAAACCACAGCAGAGAATTCGATGAAAATTGCATTGGTGTGTTTAATAACATTTGTCTTAAATGCTCTTTTTATTACAAGCTAATGAAATGTATCTTACTGTTTAACTTTATCTCATTTACTAAGCAGAGAAACATTTCTTTAATAAATAGTTATTTTAAATTGCTGGAGTGCCAAGGTGGAAATTATATTTAAAGCTTTTTGAAATGTGTCTCTCATAAAAGTGTTCACAAAAAGCACTTCTTTTATAAATAAGCTCATTTCACTCAAAGTACTGTCTTCAAAGAAAAGACTTCAAAGGGTATTACCAAATTTTCTGCAGATTTCCTATTCGGTAGTCACAATGTCTATTGTGTGTATAGTACAGTCTGATTCAAATATTATTTAAGGTATACACAAGCATGTAGCTTGGAGCCAAGATGTTAGTGTTTCATATTAGAATGAAGAATCTTTTGTCCACAAATTCAGTGATCATGTGTTCCCCAGATGCAACTTTTGCAACAATATGGTTGTATGTTGCATGCAGAAGCAAAATGATAGTGCAGAAAGTAATGCAGCTGTATTGTACTCATTCCAGATAAGCCTCGTCTGTGCAGCTACTAACTTCTAATGTATTTGTCATACTATCTTTCCCTGCTCATTCCTGCAAATACATTAAATCAATTGTATTCTGTTCAGCAAAGGCTACGACAGAGCAGGGCCAAATTCTGCTCACTTTACTTTCTTAAGCAATCTCATTAAAGTTTATGGCACTTCAGACTTGTTTTATGAAGGTATATGATCCATTCATTGGTGATGTTTTGAGATCTAATAAGGAAAAAATACTGCTATTTAACAATTAACTATTGCTATATCTTCCCGGTCTGAAAGAGCACATTTGTGGTTGCTTTTTGTGGTTCTGAGACTGAGGATCTGAAATATTTAAATCATAAACCAAGGTAATTCTGCAACAGTTAGCATTCCTCTGACAGATCTGCTGCGATCTGTAAAGAATGATTTTTTTTTCTAAAGGAAGAAATACAGTTAGCAAAGTATGTAATGTTTTAGCTGTGCATGCATGTACAGGAAAGTTCTTAGTATTTTTTTTGACAAATGTGTGCACTCAATGTCTCTAGACAGCAACCTAATGAGCAAAGCATTCAGCATCAACAGGTTAGCTAATCTTGTGATTGAATATGAGAGTGCTGCACTACTTCAGGATAAATGATCAGGATTAGTTAGCCAAGAATGCATTCAGTTTTGTTTTACAGAAGATGTGAACGTGAAATTCAGTCATTGCTTTTTTTTTTTTTTAATTAAAAACCCCAAATCTTGTCTGGGGTGAAGAGCTACAATTAAATGCAACATTGTAAAGAAACCAGAGACTTCTTTATGCTTTCTCTCACTGTGCTTTTGTACTTACTGTTCCTTACCTTGAGTTTCCAAATCACGACAAGTCATCTATCAGGGTAAACAGGTGAGACATAAGTCCTTTTGATTTTTTCAGTACTTCCCCATGTCGCATTACATGGTTTCCACAGATCTCTGGGAATCCTTTCATATATCATCAAGGCATTTTTTCTCCCCATAGATTTAATCTCTATCAGCACAACATTAGAAAACCACTTCATAAAAATAAGAAAAAAAAAAAGCTATTTTGATTTTCCCAGCTGTGTAGAAAAAGTTAAGTATTCTCTTTAAAACAGTAGAGTCTATTACAATAACCTATGCACAATAGTGGCAGTTTCTCTAATCAATGCCATTTGAAATGGTTTCCATATGTAGTAATTATTGCAATGAGAGGGGGCTACCCCAGGCCCACAAGTGAGTTAGATACTGTGATACTGACTGTTTCGGAACTGAGTTTTAGGTATTTAACTACAAGTTTGAACTCATTAATGGTATTTGTGGAAAGAGGAGATTCTCTACTGTGGTCCCTGCTTGCAATATTGTTTGTGACTTTGCTAAGAAATGCATAAGCACCACCTGAAACCCATGATGTGTTTAGTACATGAGTCAGAAGGACTCTTGTCACTGGGTAAATTCCTCTTTGCTCTCCTTTGGTACAGATGAATTTTGCATCCCTTTCAGTACAGAAGTGTGGATTCAAAGGGGAGGTGGAGCAGTAAGATCCCTCACCATTCTCTTGTTGCAGCTGTGCTAGCAATGGAGCAGATCTAACTTTCTAGAAAAGATCATCTGGCCTACAGTCTGTTCCCTGCCTTCAGTACTAAGGTGCTTTTGAAACAGGAAAGAGCAGAAATCTAGCCAAAGGCTAGATGAGTGGTTTTGGAAAATGCTGTTCTTTTTTTCCCCAGGGTCATGCATGACGAAAATATGGATGTGTCCTTTTACAGAAAGAGTATATGTCTGCTTGAGAAATGCAAGTGTACATCTTCTTAGGTCATGAGACGGGGGTGCATCCACGACCTGCCACATGTGGTCGTGGAGGTTGCCTGTATCTTAGGGATATGATGGTCACATGAATGCATAGGCAAGCAGCCTCTGGGTACATCAGTGTGCATGGAAATGATGGTGTATATCTGTGCTGTGATTCCCTTGTGTATATTCAGTTGTGTGAGGTGCAGGATCCAGACGATCTGCATAATATAGACCTTGTGTGCCCCCAGAAGAGGTTGTGGAGCCTGTCCTAGTTTGAAAGAGAACAAGATTAGGGTACTGTATGGGCACTAGAAGCTCTGATTTTGACCTTTGTCAGGGTAAGGAGGATCCTAAGCCTTGCCATGGGGACAGTGCTTTTGGGTATGTGAGAAAAAAATTCTAAACACTTTTGACGTTTGAAAACAAAATGTGCTAAAAGTCTTGCAGGTGCTGGAGAGCTTAGGTGATTGAACTTGGTCCCTAACTCTACTTACTTCCATTTTAGAATTCTGAGTCATCCTTTAAAATTGGCCACTAAACACAAGCGAGTCTGTGTCTTCCATCCATACAAAGGTTAAATGGATAGCCCCAAATCACTAATTTGTAATTTTAGGCAAATGTTAGACAAGCCTATTTGCTATTGCTGTCACCAGGGGCTGCTAGTTAGGTTTATTTCCTTTTGTATATCATATCTATGTTTTTCTTACTTCTCCATAAATACTTACTGAAACAAAAATACCATGTTTAATTATTTGTACATTTAAAGAAGAGATAATAACAATATACAGTACTCAGAACAACCAATGTTTATTTCTTGCTGGGGACTGCTGAAATGCAAATAATAAACTGTAACAAAATATAATTAACCAAATAAACACATAAAATAAAGAAATAAGATTGGGGACATATTTTCTTACTCAGATGTATATCTGCACATTTAAAAAGAAGAGAAAATAAATTTCCCCAGAGAGCTTAAATTAAGTGATATGTCTGTTCCTTCCCAATGTATATTTGTTGATTTCTTCCAGATTAAATGCTGGAAGTCTATGTGCAGCTGCAGGGAGGATGAAAGGTGATGGAAGGTGGGTCACAGCAAAATGCTGTGTGGGTGCTAGTGAGAAGGCTAAAGAAGTTTCCGTACCCCTCTCATAAATTCACCTTTTTGAGTCATGGCCTGATTATGCCAAAGTATGTTACAGCCACAGTCTTTCGTGATACTGCAATATTGTTGGGTAATAGTAATGTTCTTTTAAGCTTTTAGAGTCTGAATCTTTACTGTCCCTGAGCTGAATTTCCATTAATATCTAAGGGATGAATTAATTGCACCCTGATAGCTATATTTTTCTATCAAGACTGTGTTGTATTGACACAATCTTGTTGCTAAGTGTTTTTAAAGAGACACGTAAAATAAGTTGCAAGTATCCCATTGATATTAATAAAAGAAATGCATGATTACAAACTAAATTCCCCTATGAAAACAAAGCAAACTACTGGCTTTATTGCTGTGAGTCTCCTGCACTGTTACCATCTACGACTAAATACACAAGAGGAAAATATTACAAACACTGGATAAAGTAAAAATCACAGTTTTACTTCATGTTATTTTATTTATCTTCTGCTAAAATTCAAGAGAAATATTCTATTTTTCACAGAAAGTATTAATGGAAAAATGGAATTTATACTTGTGCAATATGCTTTTACCTGTGATGGAGATATTCAATCTGAGATACTATAGAAATATCTTTCTGGAGTCATCTGTAGAGACAGTCAAGCTGTGTTATCTTACCTTGCTTATGTTACTAAGTCAGTAGTCAGTTACAAATAGCAAATATTCAAAAAGTAACCTGTGAAGTTAACTAAAAAGTATGTATTCATTTTTTTACAAGCCTTTCACTAGATAGTTTTAGTGATGAGAGCATAAAATTATATATAATTTCCTGACTAAAAGAGAAGCAATGTTAATTGAAAGTGTTTTCACCATGAATAGCTAATATTGCAAAAGGAAGCCCCTGAGCTACAAATGTCTGAAAGCTGGGAGGTTTGACTAGGAAAACTTTGCTGTCTGCATGCCTTGTTCTTCTAGTGTTCCTTTTTTACTCACAATGGATGACTGCTGGAAACAGGATATGGTCTTCTAGGTAGACCACTTGACTAGCTAGTAAGGCCATTTTGATGTCACGTATAACTGTAGCTAACTAAATTATGTTAGGTGGAACACACTGTAGATATAGCTAGGAAGAGAAAGAGCTTTTATATACCTTCCACTCCACCTCTTTCAAAATATGCAACACATTATTTGTGTTTTTTAAAAATAATGATGGCTGAGTTGAGGTTTGATATATGTTTAATTTCTATAGGATCAGTAGACTGCCCTAACATGATGGTGTTTCTGGATACATTGGAGAACGGGAAGAAACATCAACCATATGTCAACTTAGCTTTTTATTTGGGACATTCTGAACAATTTATCTGTGGAAAATATTAAAACAAGTATATTAAAATAAACAAACTAAATCGGAATGATCTATAAATCTCCAGGGGAAGAATGTCCATTTTTGACATTACGTTGAAATAAAAAAAAATTGCTAACAGTGACACAGAGGGGAAGAATGGCATGCCATGTTTAAAGCCTGGCTCTGGATAGAGCCATACTGTATTAAAAACAAATCTGGAACCTGAGCATGTTCACTACAATTATCATTATCCAGCCTCCATAACATCTGACCTTCCCTAAAGGGAAATATTTTCTTTTTGTTAATGTCCTGTGTTGCACTGCATTTCCCATTGTCATTGGCAGCATATTGATTTAATATCAGGTTAGAGGATTAGCCATAGCAAATACAAGTTGGACATACTGTATTTTGTATAATCTTTTACAGCTGATCCACTGGGAGAATTAATAGAATTTCATGCAACTCTGAAATTGCTATTCCTGTTCCAAGGGGCACTGATGATTTTTAGATGCTGTACTTTTTAGTTGTTTTTCTCACCCCCTTCTGCATTGAATACAGGGAGATATTGAATGTTTCCAGTATTTTTGCATTAGAGCTGTCATTGGCAGCAACACCACTTTTGCATATGCATCAGCTTGGCTCTAGTGCAGATTTTTTTTCACATTGGACGCCTACTGATGTGCACTGATTTAACTTCTAAAAATGAAACTTAATTTTGTGTAGCTTATAAGTAGTCCCTAGTGGGTCTTGGCTCCAAAAAGCTAATATTTTTCAGACATAATCAGCAGCAATAGGTAATGTATTACCATTAGCTACGTTAGCAGCAAGTATAAAAAAAGGAAGGGTTGGGGGAGGAAGTGTGGTGTAGAAATTCAATAGAAAATGTAATATGCTTTTAGCAGCTTCGTACTTTGCAGCAATTCTTAATATAAAATTACACACATCAGTGTTACACTGTAGCATTATCCTCCATGTTTATTCATAATGATTGTTTCATATTTAAAGAACACCAAAATATTGTGTTTTGTCAGCCAAGGACAATAATAGTTTAATAGTAATTTATTTTAAACTGCTACTGATAATACAACCAATCAACACATTAAGTGGTGCCAACATTGGCATCTTGCTAAATAATCTCTAGGTTTTGCACTGAGAGTACATCTTTCAAAGATAAGTCAACAAGAGCAATCAGAGCAGAAAATTAGAATTTGGTATCTTAGAATTAAAATACAGCTAAACTAAAGTTTTAATTGGGGTGATCTAAAAGGGCACTTGATGTAATGATCTCTTTCATTTGTTACTAATTGTTTGTTCCTGATGAAGAAGAAACATGTACATGAATGTAGTTGAATTGAGTAGAGATGGCAGTTGCTTTAGCAGTTTGATTTTATTGTTAAACAAGATGGATTGTAAGAATTTGGGAGGAGGGTGTTTGCAGCTTTAAACTTACTTGACAATATACTTTACATAAACAAATACTTTTCATGGAATTTCACTTGATCTGATTTATTAGTGATTTGGATGAATCACATGTTCCAGTAAGTGATGAATTGGAGGAGATGATTAAAATATTCTAGGGTTTAAGCGTAATCCAGAAGCAGGTATTGGTAAACAAATCCTACTTCCAATTTCTTACTATTTCAAATGCATCCCATATAGAAAACTTAGTTTATGGTGGTTGTAAATGTAGGAGAATATGGTGACAGAAGGGAACAGAATTCAAGTGGATATTAACTTTTAAAAAAATAGATTGGAAAGGCTTTACAGATATTTCAAATTGTATTTTGCTTTGCATATGTCTGTAGAGCTTTATATTTAGCTTTATGTGGTTTTCTTTAGTAGTCATCCAGGTTTAACATTCAACACAAAATACCTTTGTGTTTTAGCTATTTTAGAATAGCACTTGGTTCTTTTAAAGAAAACTGCTAAAACTTTACAGCTATTTGTAAGCACACTTGTCGTGTTACTATTGTTAGATATTTTTTAAATGTGGTTCTATACTTACATAGTGTATATCGTTTTGGTGACCATCTGGGCTTTGCAGTCATAAGGTGTTTCAGCTCCTGTGGACTTTAATAGATTGAAGTGTAATAGAGCTGCAAAATATTAAGCTCTAAAGGAGACAACACTTGATGCAACAATTTAGTTAAGAATGAGGATGAGGAGTATGAAAATAACAGGCTCTGAAAACGGACTTAAAAGAGGAATTTGAAGGACACAAATTTCAAACCAGGCATTGACATTGGGAAGACTAGTGGGATAAATGTGCAGACTAACACTCACGAAAAATACTTTTTCCATTTCTCAAGTATCATCACGCTGGTTTCTTTTTCCATTCCTCTTTGGAGATATTTCAAACTATTTTGGTGAAAAAATATGCAACCCAGAATCCAATTTAGGAAGTGTGCCTGAGGGGTGAGGAAGCTTACCTGGGAGTTGGGGGACACGATTTCATGTCTGTAGTGTGGTTGTTCTGAAACCGGGTCTTGAGTGTGAACGTTTTATGTGTTAGCTGAATGCTTCCCTAGCAGAGCTATTGGGGAGTACTCTTCAGTCTCTCGTTGGCATTGTTTTGCTTTATATCAGTAATTAAATCTCTGTTGGGTCAAATTATCTCTACAGTTAAGTTGTCAGGAGACCTGCCTAGGATACAGAAGAGTTAGCTTCGAATCCATGGAGGTTCATGTATGCATATCCATGCTTAATTATCTATTATGATAGCTTCAAGAGGAGAGATTCAGGTGTAGACCTAAGAGCCTGATGGCCAGGCTTCTGGAAAATGGAAAAGGAAATCTTCCCTCTTTCCATGTTCACTTATTTCAATTCCATTTTTGCTCTTTTTCATACCCTATCTCAGTGTCCTAACTATCTGGTTATTAGCTGTGCTGGGATCTTCCTGTTTCCTTGCAAAAAAGAAGGAATTGCGGAGTTGAAATTCTCAAGAGAAGTTTAGAATAGGCTGAATCATTTTTTTCTGCTACAATAACAACAAAAAAAGGTAGAGTTTATTTCAACCATCCCAGGTCAAGAAATTGAGAGATGATTGCGTTTTGTTCTCTGCTGTGAGATAACAATTGTACAAGGTCAGGGAATGGACTTTTTAAAACAGAGTTATCTTCCTGCTTTGTGACCGTCCTCTGCTTAGCATCCCAATAATCCTGTCTTCCTTGGAAACTCTATGAAATATGAAAATATTTGAAAATAATAATAATTAACAACAATAAGGAGCAAAATGGCAAGCCTTTAGAAGAGCCTTTCTCCCTTTGGTAATTTCCATTGGCTTGAGTTGTGCTAGAGATTGAATTTGCCATTCTGTGGGTGATGTGATTGTGAAACTGCCAGTTCTTTTTCAATGGACAGCTTTTTGTTTTGGTCAAAGGCAAGTGCGTGATGTAGGCTTGTCTCTTTTATCTCTTACAAAGAATAAACTTACCCCTATAACTTTTTCACAGTAGTTATATGCACAGTCAAAGGTGAGTTTGTGTTTTCTGGGAAAACTTGACTCCTGGCTTTTTACAGTTTTTTGCCCACCTTTTAAAATTAATTCCAATAAAAATGTGCTGTTGTTAATTGGGAGGCTTTGACCCACTAACAGGATTATTTCATTTGTAAAATCTCACATGACTAATCAAGGAAAAATAACAAGTTATTTATTATGGCAGCTATTCTAACATTCTTCAAACATTATCCAACTTTATCTTTGAACAGGGTCTACTAAAGGTTGCTATAGACAATGCCAGAGCTCAAGAGAAACAGGTCCAACTGGAAAAGACAGAGCTGAAGATGGAGCTCTTCAGGGAACGAGAACTGAGGGAAACACTTGAAAAACAGTTGGCTGTGGAGCAGAAGAACAGAGGTATCTTAATTAAGCAGACATAAATTTATTTCCTTAGGAAACCTAATTTTTTATCAAACACCTGTGTTTGATCAAAATTTTTCCTCCTTACCTCATGTTATGTCCAGGCTGACTGCAATGCAGGAAGTTTTACAACCTGCCTGATTCTGCATAGGATCTTCATGAGATTTAGAACAAGGACCTTCCCTTTTCTTGATGTTTTTCTTGAATATTACTTATTACATCAGTAATACACAACACAATTATAAATACCATAGGTGCTGTTATGGAGATTGGCAGGTTGTGATCATTATGAAAAAGGCTAACTACTTAATACAAAGACAATTTGTATCAAATTTAAGAATCTGCAAGGTTTTAGGAACTCTTGTCTCTATTCTTATGTGCTAGGGTCATATAGTGCATATTTAGGCAAGCCGTATATAATAAATATAAAGATAATAGTAATATATAGGCCCTTTATAATGCATAGGAGATCAAACACATTTGTAGAAGGAACAGTTAAGGTTATTCTTGATAAGGCAGTAGCATTAGTAGCATTTTAAACCTTAACATCAGCCCACTGTGAAGCATATACATGTTAAAGATTTTTAAATAATTTCATTGATAGTAAAGGTAAGGCAGTTTACAGTGATTGACATTAACTATTTGCATTAAGAACATGTTCCCATCTTTCTTTATGGGTCCATTTTTCTGTATATGTATGTCTTGCCCTTTAATAGTGTCTAATTAGTTTGCAAGGGACAGTTAACCTCAGAGGCTCACTTGCTGTTTAACACAGACCATGACAAGTCAGATATGTATTTTTGCAGGGGTAGAGTTATAACTCTCTTCTTGTCCAGTTTAATTTTCTGGGAACCAGCTAAATAGGGAATACCGAGAACACTTGGATTCACAACCAGTATCATTATGCCTTTAACAAGCTAGCAGTAAGTACACAATGTAATCCCGTTTCATGCATTGACCCATTAAAGGGTAGGACTGTCACGTCATTAATTTTCTTTTTTTGACTTTTGAGAATACATTTTTAAAGACAATTACTATTAACAGTTATCACAGCTGTGCAATGAATCATCCCGTTGTCCACAGCTGGCCTATTTTGCACAGTACAATTTCACTACTTGCACTTTTAAAGTAGTTTTGTAAAAGAGCTTGGTTATTCTTCACAGTCTTCTACCTCTGCGTCTCACAACTGCTCAAATATGTATATTCCTTTTTAGAGTTAGGCAATGACATGCACAGTAGAAAAGACTGGGGGGGATGACCCATCTGACTTTACTTGAGTTTTGCCATCTAAAAGTTAAGCACCTCATTTAAGTTAATATAAGTTCCCTTTCTGGTCAATAAAGAAAGAGATTCGTGTATCCTGTTCTCAGACAGGTAGATGGGGTCAATTACACTGTGAAGACTTCTTTCTCTTCCCTTTAACTCCAGAGGGAATATAGTTGTCTGGAATATAGTTGACTAGACACATATGTTTTGAGCAGTTAAGATTAAGCAAAATGAATTTCTCTCGAAGTTGTATGTCAGGAAAGAGCATGGGATAGTCCCTTATTTTGTTCAGGGTACTGAAATAATTGACAATGTTATTTTCAGCATGATGCATTACCTGCTTTTTTATATGTATCCCTCTAATGATGATATTGCACTGGTAAAAGAGCCAGACCAAAGAGGAATGGATTTGAACATTTAATGGTGGTATGCAGCAAAGCAAATATAATGAGGATGACTATCTCTGCTAGTGGATGCTTCTGTACAGAAGAAAGAAAAGTAATGGATTATTCTTTAAAATGAACGGATCCAAATAAGAGAGAAAAAATAAGGCCAGATTGTAATTATTGTGAGGATTTATTCTTCAATGAAAGGTAGAAAAATACCTACTATTAGTTTTCCAGACAGCAAGTGTCATGTCTTAAAGAAAGTTTCACGTGTCTTAACGGAAGCATGAGCAAGATGGAGAAGTGTACCATATCCCTGTTAAGTTAAGAGATACCATATGAAAAAACTGAAATACACTTAAAAGTTACAGCATAGAAACACAAGTCACTGTGTCACATACAGGTCAAAACCCAGTAGGTGAATGGGATCTTCAGCATTAGGCAACGTCTCTCTCTTGCTCAGAGTGTTAACACAAGTCAAATATCTTTTTCTTTAGTGGCTACATCTGAATATTTTTGCCATTTTTTTGAACCTTAAATTCACTGCTGCTACTCTATGTTCTACAGAGCTGCTTATTTACTGTACTGTTTTCTTTCTTCTTTGTAAATATTCCAATTAGTGATTCCTAAGGCTGTAGGATGTGTCTCATCAACTGGTGAAAGTAGGATAATATCTCTTCTGTGAGCAGCTACACAGTAAGGGCTTGCTAATTCTGGCTCTGACTGCTGTAGTCACATCTACAATGTGTCAGCCATGATGACATTTTAATTCAGAAACCAACATATGTTTCCTTCTCATTTATTGCAATCACTTCCAAAGTACTCATAATGAAAACATTAAAACCGTGCAATGATTCAAAATGTATTTAGTTTAGCCTTTGTATAGATAGTAGATGTTCTTTGATAGTATGAGCTAATTAGCCCGTAAAGTAGTTGGTACTATACAAAATGAGAAAGAACCAAAATTCCAAAGTCTCAGATGTAAATTATGTAGCTATTCAGACTACAGGGTATGTGCTTATATTCATTTTGTGTCTGAACAGTTCTGTATAGCAACACAAAATATCCAAGATCACCCAAAAAGTGGTTATTCTTGGCACATAAACTAAATAGCAATAACAATGACAGTTCCCTTTAAAAGTTTTATTGTTTGCATTTTGTGAAAGATACCACCATCATAGACTACTGGAAATGGGGAGTGTGAACTGGTGGAAGTATATTTTTGCCTTTTCCAGCATTCATCCCTAGACATGTACCAGAGGTTACTTTAGAGTGAGATACAGGACTACATAGATCTTGGCAGTCAAACCTAGTATCACCTAGTATCTGGTTTTGGTAAGGATAATTCTTTTAGTGTGTGTAAAGAATTCTTTAGTGAGTAGGTTAGTAGATAATTTTTTAGTTAATGTCCAAATAACAGACTCTCCAGGAAAGGGTTAGATCTTATGAGAAATAAGCTTCTTACATGCATATCCCTGAAAACCCTAAATGTGCTATGTAAGAAGGGTTTGGGTGTGGTAGAGGAGATAATGATATGCACTACGACTTTACATGATTTCTTTAGAGGCTCACTTTGGCTTTTATCGAGTAGAAAAATTGGTTCACATTATCCTTTTCCATCAGGAATGTAACCTGAGATATGTTCCTTCAGTCAGGGATTGTGCAAGTCTTACTTTTGTGGTTGTAAGTCACTGATAACATAGAAAAGAAAATTATGATGAAGTTTCATCCTAATCTTGCAATCATTTTTTCTTGTAAAATTTGAACTGAAGAAATACAAGGAAAACATTTTTCTAAATTAGAGCCTTCTAATGCTTAATTTTAAAATACTCCTTCCTTTCCTAATATTTTCCCTCATATTTAACAAAGCAAAGTAATATTTACTTGGCTGGGGGATCCAGCACCATAAAGGATTTGCTATGAGTTCTTCCAAGGTTAGTTGGCTGATGGGACAGGAGCTGATGAGAGCAAGAAAGAGAAAAGGCAAAGACAAAGGGAAATGTGGATAAGAAATATGGGGAAGAGACCACGCACCAAGAGGTTGGATGGCTTGCAGGAAGCAGCAGCTTGGAGGGGATTTAGAAAGCTCAGGGCCTTTCCCTAAGGAATGAGGACCACAGCAGGGTGGGGGCTGAGCTCCTCCTGCAGCCCAGGCACCCAAGCAGCCGGAGCTCCCTCTTGTGGGAGTGAAGCTGCAGGCAGGCAGGCAGGCAGGCAGGCAGGCGAGAACATCACTGTGTATACTAACTGTGTGCTGTGGGCAATAACAAAATGATGGACTTAATCCCGACAAAAACACCTCATCTCCAGAGACAGAGGCATATCTGCATCAGATGACGCAAAAAGCACATTTCATTGCCGGTTCCAAGGTTTTCTGATTTGGACATTCACAGATTCTCATTTTTTAATTAAAAAAAAAAAAAAAAATATATATATATATATCTATATATATATATAGATATACATGCTAGAGCTGAATATCACCTGCAGTTTTCAATACCATGGCATAGAACAGCAGCTCTTAGAATATCCCAGTGTGATACCAGCAAATTTCAAGTAATTTAAGTTGATATTGTATAATTAATCAATTTATATAAACTGTTGCAGTTGTAGCGTTTCTTGGGGTTCTTAGTAGGTAATCATGTAGCCAAGTTTCAGATCCCAATTTGAGTACACTGATTTTCTTTTTTCCCAGCAATAGTTCAGAAGAGGCTAAAGAAGGAAAAGAAGGCAAAGAGGAAATTGCAGGAAGCACTTGAATTTGAGACTAAACGACGGGAACAAGCAGAACAGACACTGAAACAGGCAGCTTCAACAGATAGTCTCAGGGTCCTAAATGGTGAGAAACCAATTTTTGCCTCTGTGCCATTGCCTTTTGATTTAAGTGCCAAAAGAAGCTTGTTATATTGAAATTTTATAACATGATGGGAGGGAAAAAAAAGAAATTATCTTTTCTTTCCTTCATTCAAGTGATGCCTCTCTCTTTATTGTTTTGTTACTTTATATAGTATGTGCAAATAAACTCACAGGAGAGACTGTCCAAACTAGGACAATTTTATATTATTAGCTTGAGAAGTCAATTTTTTTTCTTCCTCTTTTTCTCCCCCCCTTTATGCTTGAAAAATCTATTGCTCATTAATCTTCCTAGTCTAACAAAAAATTGTCCTGGCCTCCAGTCATTGTTCAACATTAAAAAAACTGACAAAGGTTGATTGTATTGTAATTCAGCATTGGAGTAACAGGTTGTAAAAAGGGCTATAAGAATCAAATGAAATATGTGTCAGTCTTACCTTTCTATGTTTTTAGACTCTCTGACCCCAGAGATAGAAGCTGACCGCAGCGGGGGCAGAACAGATGCTGAAAGGACAATACAAGGTAGGAATTTGCAAAAGGCTATAAATCTAGATCTTGCTATATGAGTTTTTCCTCAGCTTTAGACTGCTATTCAAGCATGTAGCCTACCATCTGGGCCACATCAAAACAAGTTCAAACAAGGTCAAGTTCATCTTCCTTGTTTATAAGAGAGAATACATTCTGTGCTGATAGATTTTCTTTAAATTAATAGGTCATTTCTGTTTATGCAGAGCAATTAAAGAAGAATAATTAATTTGAAGCAATATTGGGTTGAATCTCAGACATGCTGAATGCAGTTTTTGTGAATATGTATAGTTAGATTTGAGATAACTGTTTTTAAAGGTATATTTGAAACCTTTTGAGCCTTTTAACTATACAAATAGCTAAACCTAATGGGTAATATTCAAGGCATGATGAGAATTTCATAGCTAATATTCAGTGGCAGTTACTGAAAGGTATGTTTCAATAAGCTACGCTAAGCATTAACGATAAATAATCTGTTTATTCCCTTCTTGGATTTTTCATTTACCATATCCCATTATTTACATTTTAATAAAACAAATCTGCTGAGTAAATTTATACATGAAATACTAAAGAGAGCCATATTACTTCCCCTGTGAATCTAAATATATATATATATTGCAAACACCAAGATATTAGTACAGAACAAATTTTTAAGGTAGTATTTATGTTATAATGTCTTCTCTAGTCAACAGGCTAAATCTACCTACATGAATACTAAACAGTAAAAATAGCATTTGTTTTCAATTGTAAATGAAGGTGCATTTTTCAGAGGCAAGCCTAAAATGATTAGCTCCAGTAATCGCTCTCAATTGCCTTTATTTTGCATTTTGAAGTCAATCATCTTAACAGTATCATTTGACATCTTCTCTGTGTTATTTAATCACTTTTTCTAACTCCTAAAGAGTTGTTACTGGTGTGCCACAAGGAGGCTGTAACAACAGAATAAAAAGTCAACAAGCTTTTAATGTATTGAGCATATAAACAAATAAAAAAGAGGCATTAAGTTCTTATGTAGGACAAACACATGTATATAAACAAAACAATTTAGATTTAAAGCAAGTTATGTCTGCAAAGTCAATAACTCAGAAGTTGGAGTATGCCAGATTAAACGTTGCCTGGGAAGTGGGTACATGTTATGAGGTTTGTTATTCCAGAATCCTGCTTCCTTCCCATAAAATGTATGCCTTATTCAAAGCACCATTTGACATAATTAATTTAGTAAGAATCCAGTCATTATGTCATTTTGTTATAATCCAGTCATTTTGTTATTTTGTTTGGTGGAAAGACAGACTTCTCATTTGTTGGGAGGCCATTCTGTTACACTAGTCACTGCAATATCTGAGCTCTGTGCAAACTTTAATTACTTTATCTTCAGAGCATTCCCACAAGGAAGTGAAGTTTGGAGTATTCCCATTTGAAAGCTGGGAAATAGAGTCACAGAAAGATTAAGGTGACAAATTGCTTAACTTTCGAGTAGCTAGGACCTATTTTTTCAGGATACTTTGCATTTTTGGCAAAGGTATTCAGTGTATTTAAAATCACCGTTCCTGTTGAATTCAGTTTCATGGGCTCAGATACCACGCTGGATGTTTATAAAATGAGCAACACATAATTACTGAGTATTTTGGAAGTATGTATTCTAAAGGACTTATCCCAAACTACACAGGAACAGCACGTCAGCTTTTTAACTAATATTATCCATTCTTTTCCAGCTATCCTCTGCATACTTATGCTCTTTTCATATATTTCCATTTGTGCAACAAATGAAATCAAGGACTTACAAGCAACATTCTCAGTAATGATGACCTTTCCTTGATTCATCTGTCTAAGGTGGTGCAAGGAAAAAAAAAAAACAATTCACAGATTATTATTTAATTAAAGACTGGACCATAATACATTCTGATCATGATATTGGATCACATTGCAAAGGCAACCTTAATTCTGACATTTCCTGTCTCTACTTTGCAGTCTTAACATATGATTGAAATAGGGGTTTTTTTAAGGACAAGGAAAAAAGAAGCAAGAAATAGAGTTGCAAATTCTTATCATTTAATATATTCAGCTTAATTGTCATACAACAGTTCAGAACTTTTAGATCTACTACAACATGTAACCCTACAACACAAATGTAACTGTAGGAGCTATTGTTGTAGATCATCTATTACAGGCTGACAGGTTTCTGAAATACTTCAAGAAATAGTTAATGGCAGACGAGTAATGCAAAGTGTCAGGACACTTTGTGTTCATTTCCAATATTGGAATGAGGATTCCCTTTCACCATAAACTCCCTTTTTTCTGTGTCCCCCTTAGCATGTATACCTGTTACTCTTCTGCTTCTGTGTCCCAGTTCTTCCTAGTTTCCTCCTCCTCACTCCAATTCCAGCTTTTGTCAATGGCTAATCTCATTCTTTCCTGGCTCTACATTACACTGTGTTTCTTTTTTCCTAACTTCACATTCTTCCAGCATTTTCTTCTGAATTCAATTTCATGCCACCCTGACTATTTCTTTAATTACAAGCTCTTTCTATTCTCAGTGACCCCCAGACCCCTGTGTCTGACCTTTCCCGTTTCCTCCTTCTCTTCTCCAGCCATTTTGAGAGTCCATGCTGCATTGACATTCCCTGTTACCTGCCTTTCCTGTTTGGTACCACATCTCCGTATTCTCTGCTTCCCCTTGCCTCCCCATCAAGCTCACATTCCCTGCTGCTTTCAGTACACATTCTGTTTCTTCTTCTGCATCTGTCTGGATATCAGGGAGAGAAGCACTGAGAGAAAAGCAAAGACAATTTCTCTGTTCTTATCTCAATATTTGGCACAGCAACTGTTTGCAGGAATGAGGAGAGAGAGTTGCAGAGAAAGAACTGCTTCATTCCTGCAGCACTGGGATAAAGCATGCTCAGTACAGATGGGCTCCTTGGAGAATTTAGCTGCAAAACTGTACAAAAGCTTTCCAGTGGGTGAAACTGGGATTTTTCCAACACTTTTTTGAATTTTCATTGAGGCAACAAAGACCATGTCTTTCCAATTTTGCAAAACTTCAATTATGTCCTTACATTTTATCTGTAAATGATATTCTGTATACTCTAGTTATGCATTATAGAAGAACTATTATATAGAATATACAATATATTCCATAACAAGAGTATAATGCTATCTATCTCTTTCACGTTTCAAGTCCTGGGAAAAAATACTTACTAGGGAAATACTTATGCCTTACTTACTCTTCTCAAAAATATATTTGTATCTTGGTAGCAAAGCATGTCTGGGGTAATAGTCTCTTTATCCCCAATCATTAATTTTTTTCAACTTACTGTATTAAGCATGCCATGCAGTTCTATAACTATGCAAACAAAAGTAGGAAAGCTGCAGCATTCTGTGGGGAAGTAATTGAAATACCAAGTGTAACTTCAGCATTTAAGAAAATATTGCGCAAGGAAATCATAATTAAAAATAAAAATTTATCTACTATTTATTATAAATAAAAGGATACTTGTCAACTTGAAGTTATATTTAATGTTGATATTTTTAACTATCAGTTTTGTGAGTCAGGAATAGGACTAATTTAAGTGTAAAAGATAATTGCATTTGTCAATAAGGGGGATATGTTTTGTTCTATTTTTCATCATGTAGCACTCATTCAGATTCACTTTTAGTTCATGTAAAGTCTCTAAAATGGGAGAGATAATAAGAAATTTGAATATGAGACTATAAAAATAAGCATTACAGGATATTTTAGGGCTGGGTTTGGGTTTTTTTAAATACTGGGTAGATAACAGTTTGCTGGAATAGCCATAAAGTGTTAACAAGTAATCATAATAAATAACCCAGTTATGGGTCTCATATTTTTTAACAGATACAAACAGATACTAAGTTATTAGGAACTGGTGTAGACACTGGTTTTAAATGTTTTCTTTCTTGCTTCTGTTTAAAATAATAATAAAGCAGATTATCCTCTTCTCCATACATATTGTAGGTTCACTAGATGCCTATGCCTAGCTCCCAATCCGGTTTCCCAAGACCCCCTCATCCCACACAAAAAGGTACCATACAAAGATAATGTTTGACTTTTATATACTGTTTTGTTACCAGACCTCTTACTAAGCACTAGAACAATGACATTTACTGCCGCTCTTACTTTCTTATTTCCACTGACTTTTTCTTCCCCATCTGGTTACTTACCATGTATTTGTCTGCCTACATTATTAATTTTTCTTTTCCTCTATAAGACCCACATTCCCAGTTTTCTGTCTCCCAGTAGTTTCCCTCCCAAGTCCTGTACATTCATCTTCATTCCATATAAACACCACTCCCTTTACACATTATCTAAACTCCTCTAAAAATGTTCTACTGCTGCACTGTCTTCCCCATTGACCATTCTTTTCATATAGTGTCCCTGTCATGTCTTCCTTTTTCCAAATCATTCCCAGATTGTTTTGTGTTTTTCTCTCAAAGCTATCCTGATAAGAACAGGAAGCTTAACCAATTTTTCTCTCTCTCAGGCTGTTATTTTGTTTGTCTTCTCCATTTCTTTCCTCTTTTCTAGCAATTGCCTCAGCTTGTACCTTTTCTACTTTCTTCCAATTAATTTCCAACTTCTACATGCCATCATTCCAGCTGCTTCTGAAACCAGCTCCACCTTTTTCTGCTAAAAGTCTTCTCACCCTGTTCAGTTCCCATGAATTCTCAAGCCTAGCTTTTTTTCACCAAATGTCTGTGTTCCAAGAGACCCTTTGCACTTTGCCTGTCCTCAAAGTTTTCCTGTCGTACTCCTCTCTTTCAGTCAGTTTTTCCTTAACTACGCATTCTCCTCTAGTGCAAATTTTGTTCCTTTTGTCCGTCAATCAAAATTTCATACCTCCATTCCTTATTCTGCTGCAAATATTTTTTTTTTCCTTCTAGCACATTATCAGCCTTTCTCCAAATGAGTCTGTTATCTTACTCTCCCTGTCCCTTAGCAAAACGAACTTACGCTTTCCAAGCCCGTTCCCACTGACTGTTTCTTCCCCTCTTCTGTAGGCTCATATTAACAGCACAGTTAAGT